GCTGGGACCATGGTGTGGCAGCCCTTGTTCAGAGCCCCTGCTCCCTTCCAGAGCAGCCAAAGCCTCACAGTTTTACATGGTCCAGTGTCACCCAGGGAAATATTTCAGTGAACATCTGAGAGGCAACCACGCTGGCATGTGAATCTCACAAACCATTACCATGGCACCCTAGGGACCCTGACCCGATCCCGTTCCCTCGCGCACAGCCTCAGCATCCCTGCACGAGTCGGCCGTGGGAGACAGAGGCCACCTGCAGACAGCTGTGGCCCCAGGACCTGAGTCTCCCACCCCAGCGCTGCAGGGCAGCACGGCTGAGCTGTCAGAGGAAGCTCTCCGAGTCCCCGGCTGCGGCTTGCAAAGCCCTCTGCACCATGCCCCTCTGGACGAAGCCTGCTGCTGAAATCACCCGCTACTCTCCTTAGGCTGAGTCACAGGCCGGCTACCGGGGAGTCGCGCCTTTCTGCCTCACCATCTCTTCTGACACAGCGCCCTGGAAATGCCTTTATATCCACCCAGCAGGCAGAGCAATAAAAAGTGAAAAGGCTTCTCCCAGTGGTAGCTGATGCGTGCACCAAAGGGGCGTAGCAGGGCCTTTCTGTGGAATACCACACCTTCCCCGTGCCCGGGGAAGGAGAACTGCATCCTTTCCCTCATGCTTACAGGATGGGCAGTGGGTGCTTATGCGTTTTGTCTCTCCAAACTATGCTATAGTTAGGTCCCACATCCATAATGTAACCACAGGAATCAAAGGTGAATGCTGCTTTCGCATTACCGGGTGATAAGTAGGCTCATGAATGCATTAGAGACACTAGCTGATCTGAAATAGACGGAGAAAACAGAGAGCTCACAGAAACTTATGCATTCCATTATTAACCTCACTTTAATAACTTGAAGCTCGGCTACCACTGAATATGCTGATAACCGGGTAGGTAGCATGAGGTATGCAGCGCAATCACACACGGACACTTCTGTGGTCCAGTCTTTATAGACTGCAAACAGCAGCTAAAGCAGAGTTTTCCACATCCATATAGACCCTCTGTCACAATCCCCAGATCGTTCTTTAGTTTAGGGAAATATTGTTTTTCATAGCTTTTTTATAACCACTGTGCATGAGTGCTCCTCAGATTTTAATTATCCTGTCTATAGAAGGTAGGGGAATATTGTTTGTGCTACCATATCTTTTATTTTTTTTCCATTCAGTGATTTCAAGGAATTAATACAGACTCATTGTGTGACATGGACAGCATAAAGCTCATCGTAAACTCATACAGCCTCATTTTTCAATAAAGGACAGATGTTACCTGCTTTTGAAGTTTATCTCTAACCATAATGAATTTAACAGCCTGGGTTTTCACAAAGGACTAGAAGATGAAGCAAAGGATTCATCACAGATAAAAACTGCATTTAATTTTCCAGTGAGCATTTTGTGTCATTTTTTTAAACAATATGGGGTAATAAAATGATTCCTTGGATTTAAACTTCTATCAGCTTTGCAAAAGCTCTAAATTTCCATGGATGCTATTATTGCATGTATTAAACTTCTTATTTTCAGGTCCCACTACCACAAATCTAGTGTTGAAGAGGACAGGTTATAAAAAGTTCTGTCTCTCCCTTGCTTCGAATTCAGTCAAGTCTGGACTTTATCTTCATCCTTTTGCTTCCTGTTCATCTAAAAGCATTGCACAGTCCCAGGGTAGGACTTTGTCATTGAGTAAAAATATTTAATTCAACAGCAGAAAAAAGATTAATAGGAGAAGTGAGATGTATTCAATAATCATAATTTTACAGTAATCATAATTTTCACAGATCAGTGAGAAATTAAGTCTTTGGCAGGGAATTAAAAATATTTTGAAGGTCCCTCTGTACCAGTACACTAATAGAGTGAAGTGCATTTTTATTATGCAGAAAATTATATTAAATGTTCAGAGTCATGAAGATGGCATGTAAATTATGCAGAGCAAGATGTGGGACATGGTAAGATGCACTGAGCCCTGATTTCACTGAAAGTAATTGGATAACAGAGCCCTGAGGTATCCCTAGCACAATTTGCAGGTCTAACAACATAGAACAAAGAAAATGGTGTATGTGTCACCAATGAAAAGAATATATATTCCGTTTCTATAAGCAAGATCATTTACCATGATTTGAATCACAGTAAGTAATGTTTCTGTTGTCAAGAGTATTTGTTACCTGTTCAGCACAGTACAAGACTCAAACAGAGGAGTAGCTGTGTGCATAAGTGGATGAAGGTTGCTTGAAGTGTTTTTTCAAAAAAAAAAAAAAAGAGAGTCAAAAAATTTGAACTGAAAGACTCAAAATATAGGGGGAATACAGAAAGGTTGTGCAGAAAGTGAATGTGACTTGAAATCTGATCACACACAATTATTGCAATAATCTCAAAATTACTTTTACCACATAAACAACATGGTTTTTTAAAGGTGGACTTTGTATAGAACAGTGGAAGCTATAATATCACATTTTCTCTGCTGAGTTGATATTATGTTATGAATAAGACGGCAGGCAATTAAACAGAACTAAGCTCGGAAGCATTGAAAGCACAGTTTCACGAAACACAGTGATGAAAAGTGTTTTCTTAGAAGTATCAAAGAATAAGAATAAATATTTCATTTTCAGTCACAACAGTCTGATGCTGATCACAGGGCATGAGCAACATCTAGTCTTGTTATTGTTATTCATGTTGCCTATCGCATGCTCATCACTGCATATACAGGTGCATTGTGAGAACACATTCATTGTTGAAAATCAATACGGCAATACAGATCTAACATTGGCCAGCAGGAGCAGGGAAGTCATTGTGCCCGTGTACTTGGCACTGGTGAGGCCACGCCTCGAATCCTGTGTTCAGTTTTGGACCCCTCACTACAAGAAGGATGCTGAGTTGCTGAAATGTGTCCAGAGAAGGACAATGAAGCTGGTGAGGGGGCTGGAGCACAAGTCTTATGAGGAGCGGCTGAGGGAACTGGGGTTGTTTTGTCTGGAGAAGAGGAGGCTGAGAGGAGACCTTATCGCTCTCTACAACTACCCGAAAGGGGGTTGTGGTGAGGAGGGTGTTGGGCTCTTCGCCCAAGCAACTAGCAATAAAACGAGAAGAAATGGCCTGAACTTGTACCAGGGGAGGTTTAGATTAGATATTAAGAAAAATTTCTTTACAGAGAGAGTAGTCAAGCATTGGAACAGGCTGGCCCGGGGGGGGGGGGGGGGGCCCTACCCGGGAGGGGTT